CAAATCTAATCTTATATCTGAGCTTTATAAAATCTATTCTTAACTGCATTCTAACAAAATTTGTCAAATAATTTTTCATATGAACAATATTGTTAATGTTTCTGGATAGTTTTTGTGTTTGAGTTTTCTCCCTGTTTCTTCAAATATTACTTCGTGTTTTATTTTCCTTTCGGATAAGGATTATAGTTTCTGTTGCTATATTTGTCTAGGCCACAGAAAGTTGTGGGACGGCCTAATTAGCTTGCTTCTTCTGAGATCCATCGAATTGTGGCTGCATTCAATATATATGGACCAAATACGTGTGTTCCATCGTATTCATACGTTAGGTCACTTAGGTGGAGGATCAATCATTGACATGCAAGTTGTCCGTAGTATTATTGTTGTTGTGGTCTTTCACTCTTTCGGCTTCTGATTTTTAATTGCTCCCAAGAAATCTATGGCCAAAGTATCGTTGTTGTAGTTTCAAATATATTATACAATATCAACCAAAATGAAAGATAGGAGATAAAAAGATAAAAGTAAAATAAAAAAAATAACATGGAAATGGTGGATTGTTTTTAGACAATGCCCGATTTGAAAAATGGTGGATTTCTTTAAATAAGGCCTCTCCACTCCCACTTAAGGGTTACGAAACTTTGAGAGAGGCCTAGGCACGAGTTTAGACTAGTTTTTCCGCTATTTTTCTCAAGACCCTGGGATTATTTGTAAGTTTCATCTTTTTAATTAATGACAATTATTTCTATTCTTCCCAATTCTATTGGGATTAGGGTTTCGGCGTCAAGCACGGCGCCAGGCACGCCCGTGCCCGCGCCCGTGCATTCGGAGCATCTTCACTTTTTGCGTCCAGGCATGGCGTGTGTGCCTTGCCAAGCACGACCGTGCCTAGCTTCCAGGGAATGGGTTCCTCGATATACTACAGGCATGACGTGCGTAATCTCCTATGCACGATCGTGTCTGACCTCCAGAGTGTTGGGCGTGTTTCGGAAAAACGAAGAAATATTAATTAATAAAAATAATTAATTAGTTAATAAAATAGCTAAAGAAAACCAGAAATAAGATGGAGCAGATTTTAGCCAGAGCTCGTGCTACGCACGATGTCCTTAAAACGTATTCGTCGCCTCCCACGGTGCTAGGAGCGTTGCAACGACCGTTTCCCGGGATACGGTGGCTAACGAACTAACGTTTGAGCACACAAACGAGAGTTCCGGCGAACTGGAACACAGTATGAACACTTAGGAATTTTTCAGAGTAGCTGGAAGTGTTTTAGAGCTCAAAAATACGTGAGGAATGTATTGTGAGTTGTGTCTTGTTGCAAAGAACCTGTCAGCTATTTATAGGAGGATTTGTTGTGTGTTAAATAGGGTGTTAATGGACCTGAATGTTGGACATTGAATCGTCCATAAACTGTCCATTTAACGCTGCATCAAAAGACAAAAACGTTGGGCATTTAATGGTCGTAACGGATCGAAGCAGTTCTGGTGCGCGACCAGAATACCTACATCAGAGGTGGAGCACCTCTGGTACGAAGCCAACAGAATACCCCTACCAGAGTTGGAGCACCTCTGGTACAAAGCCACCAGAGTTCGAGCAGTTCTGTCCGAGCACCTCTGGTCCTGGGAAAAATAAAATGTTACGGGAAGAAACAAAAATTAAACCGTATCCTGGGAAAAAAGAGGCTTCCCTTTATAAGGGGGTGAAAATCCCTTGAGTTTTCCGGTGTGGTATAAAACACACTAGAAACCCATCATTTTCCCAATTTTTCCATTTCAACGAGTGAACTTCAAGAATCAATTTCTCATTCACCCGTTATCCGTTTTGAGCTTACCATATATCAAATTGTAGCCCTTAACAAGGACAATCCGAAACCACTTTGACCCGACCCAAATCGGAAGTGGACCCCACTCAAATAATTGCCCCAAAATGACCATTTAATGCAATTTTTAACACATTTTTCCAACACAACGGACAAGTGCTTCGCTACACTATAGGCACGGCGTGCCTATCTCCCCAGGCACGACCGTGCCTGGCCTTTTTCGTCGCCTGGTCATCTTCTAGTGCGTGCCTGGCTGCTGGGCACGGCCGTGCGTGACTGCGTGGCCTTTTCTTCATCAATTCTCTTTGTTTCTTCTTCCATATGCTCCCGAGTGCTCCCGAATCGATCTGAAAGGTCTTCTCTTCATCAATTCTTCACCGTGAACTTCCCGGAGACCTCCAAAACTCTAGAACTCTCTTGAATGCTCATCAACTCTTCTTGATTCTTTCTCAAGCGCCGGTGTCAGATTGAATTACCTGATTTTCTACTCCAAACAACAATAAACCTGAACCAACGCCCGGTACACATAACTTGAGCTAAAATTGATATTTGTGACACCTAAGAGTTAGGAAAAACGTTAAAAACCGATCCCAACATGCATCGAATGTGTGTTGTAATATGGGCTTATCAGGAACCACTTTGAAACTATTTTATACTATAAGCCAAATTCCAATAAAAAATTTCAAACCTATGTGATGGGCTGGTAGAAAGATTTGAAGGGAAACATTGCAGATTTCAACTATGTCGTTCCCAATATGGTTGTTTGGAATCTTTGGAAGACACAAAATTAATTTCTTTATGATAATAAAACGGCCTACCTTCCTGAGGCGATAAATGATATCTAAACTTTCATTTTTACCATTTCCAATGTTCGACCTTTTGTCTCTCAGAATGCTCAAAACCCTTTCAACCTTCTTACTATTCCACCCAAAACACCCAAGAGAATCCCCATGCCAATAGGGGTGAGCATTCGGTCGGTCGGTCAAATAACCGACCGATAACCGAACCGACCAATATTTTTTACTCAAATAACCGTCCGAAAACCGACCGACAACATTACAAAAACCGACCAAAAAATGTCATTCGGTTTCGGTTGGTAACCGAATAACCGACCATAATCAGTCGGGGGTATTTTTTGATGAAATTTTAATGTCATGTTCTTCATCAAGTATAGTTCATCCATACCAAATTTGAGCAAACAATTCCATCGGGAAGCTCGTCAAATGATTTTTGGAAGTTAACTGCGTTTTATATGTATTTTTAGCGCAGTTAATTTCCAAAAATCATTTGACGACCTTCCCGATAAAATATTTATCTGAATGTTTTTGTGGATAAACTATACTTAATTAAGAACATGCCATAAAAATTTCATCAAAAAACTCCACCGGAAAGATCCCCAAAATCCGTCGGCCGGACGGCGGTTCCTGTCCGGAATTCCGGACAGGAAGACTACTCTACTATGGAGTATATATACTTATATAATTTGGACGGTTATCGGTGACCAACCGATAACCGATAAGTATAACCGATTAAAAACCGAAAAACCGAAAACCGATTCTTTTTATTTTATTATAACCGAAAACCGACTGAAAACCGATTTTTTCGGTCGGTTCGGTCATCGGGTTTCGGTCAGGTCGGTTAAATCGGTTATTTGCTCACCGCTACATGCTAACACTACCATTTGGAATAAACCTCCTCCTTCCTACCAAAAGATCAACTCTGCCACGCGCCATATTAAACCAACCCTTGCAAGAACTGAGGCACTTTTTCGAGATAGATGAGTTTGGCACTTACAAAGGTCATATATATGACATACATGAGCAGCACTAGTGACAATAGCATTGCTGCCTATCATGTCATCTATCAAACCATTATCAACATTAAGAGTAGAAATAAAAATATTATTCTTGAGATTTATAATAGCGATAAATATGCGATGTATATATATGAAGGCATTTAGCGCATATCACTTCAGCACTGACAATATTGGCTCCGTATTCAGAAAATTAAAAGAACTCTTATGGACATTAATTGGACAATTGTACTCATTCACCCAAAGATCAATACAGCTGCGGAGTACTTAGCTTACAAGAGTATTTCCATAGCTACAAATAATTGTCATTATAATCATTTTGTAGGAATCATAAAGTTTGATGCGATTAGTTATTCTTATGTAATTTGATTTGAGTAGACTTTTGTCTAGTCCTCCTACTCTGTGTACTTTTCTTATTCAATAAATAGGTAGGGTGTTCCCTGGTCCCTACCCCAAAGAGTCTTCTGATTTTTTGGACAAAAACCGGGTTAAAAAATGACAATTATTTTTTACTTGATCAAGTTTACAAATTGATCTCTTATATAAATGGATGAGATACTAAATTATCCTAGAAAAGATGTTGTTATAATCATAAATATGAATACAAACATATTTCTACTACAGTTATAGTATGTGTTTAAATATTTCTACTAAACTCTATGAAAAATATTGAATATTAAATTAAATTTATAGTAGAAATAATATTAAGATCAAATATAATATTATTAGTGCTTATATATATATTTGTTTCATTATATTTAAAATTTTAAAAAATATTAATGCAAAATTTAACATTGTTAGCTCCCGGTTTATTTTTGTGAAACAGTTAACTAGTTGGGATTAATATTATGAACTTTTCTAGTTGAGATTATTTCTTTAAAAATGATAAAGGTAGAGATTATTCGTGTCAATGTTGCCAAAAAATTAAATGGAAAAGTTAATTAACACGTACTGTTAACTCCCGTTTTATTTCAGTGGAAGAGCTAATTAGGATTATTATTGTTTACTTTTTCAGTAGGATTTTTTTTAAATGTTTAAAAGTAAGAATTATTGATGTTAGTTTGACCTAATAATAATAAAAATACCTCTGTCACAAATTGATTTATAAAGTCAACATTTATTTGTCAATCAATGTTAAAGTTAAATCATCTCTATTGGTAATTAATTCAATTTTAATAATTAAAATATACATATTTAGAAACTGCAATAAAATCTCTATAAAGTTGTAAAATCCAAATCAGGTGATTATTAAAAATTAATATCCCAATTAAATGATTAAAATGAAACTCTATGTCTCAAAAAACTTGATTTTGTAAATCAATTTGGGATGAAGATAATAATGAAGATATCAAAGACCAAGGCACACCGTTTTATTCATCATATTGAGGTGCATAGCTAAACGTGCTATGCACACATTATTATTACACACAGGCAAGTACACATATATTATAAACTGGATTAAGAGGATACAATTCAAGCTAGAATTGTATCTTCTTACCAAATGCAACTGCCGATGATCAGCAGTTGCGAGTGCACCAGCAGCGGAAATCGTCTCTGCATCGGCCACTGACCAAATGCTCTTTGTTCTTGCAGTGATCGTCGCAGCTGCCGTTGGTGAAGCAGGGTCCCCTATATGTGTCTGCCAGGTTCTCGCATCTCGCTGCCTCTGCAGTATGCACCATCACTTCTTCTGCATCCACCATATAATGCATTTGTCAAGTTTGAGCATTATTGACTAAGAAAGTCAAAGATGGTGAAGTTTTGTGGTAATGAGAGAATTTTTTATTTATTTCTCTTTTTCTTTCTTCCTCTCAAATTCCAGCAAGCACACATTTTATTCTTTATCTAAAAAAATTGGAGATGAAGTAAATGTTCCCTTCTTTGAATATTGTAATTTTGCTCCCTATAAGAATGAGAATATTGTACTTATCACATCTTGTAGTCATTACTATCAAATAGTTGCAGTACTATGCATTAAACATGACATTATTTACTTATCATCAATGAAAGTATTTTTCAATGATGAAAGTAACGACACGACTCCCATTTCCTGAAAAAAAAAAAAACAACAGTCCTATTTTGGAATTCCAGAACCTATTTACTCGTATTTAGGATAATTTTCCATTTTTTTTAATTAATGCACCTTTATACTAAGCTCGGGGGATTTTGGTTATTTAATACTCACTTTCTCCCGTCAAAATTAACTTTTTTATAATGGCAAACTTTGTGTTATTATATTGTGTATATATTTGTGCAAATTGAAAGTTATAAATTTTACTAGTATACATTTAAAGAGGTATTTAAATAATTTTTTTATATATTATAATAATTTCATATTAAGTACGTAGTATGTATTTTTTTGTGAAATAAAAAGAGTAGTTTTAATATCTCTTCTCTTTCTTGATTCTCAACTTCCAAGCGCAAGTTTTATTTTTTAATCAATTGTAACTGATAAGAACGTGCACAAAATTAAAAATGCTCCGTCTTGAATATTTTTTGCTTAATGTTTTCTCTATCCTAAAAAATGTGCACATTTATTTATTTAGATCAAGAATCAGATCGAGTTGAGTGATGATAATGGTATGTAAATACATCTATATATAACTACTAAAGTTTTTTATCATATCAATTACGAAGTATTAACTTTGTTACATATAGCGAGTGATATATATCGTTAAATGGGTTATGATTTTGCGTCACATATATATGCATGGAGTTATGGAACATTAAGATATGAGTGATGATAACTTACGAGCAACAAAGAGGAAAAGGAAGAGGAGGCACAAGCCACTGAGCGATTTCTTCTCCATATTTCTCGATCGATCGGCTTAGATATTGTTTTATGTTTAATTTGTGGTCTAGCTGTATCATATTAGCTACGCACACCGCACATATATATAGGTATAAGATGACTACCTTGCTTGAGTCCGAACTCCCCGGTACACGCCGGGTTACACACCAGTCAAATTGTTCGCGTACACACAATTTGACCGGCTACACAGACAATTTAACCGGCGTTTTATGAAGAAAATCGATTTCTACACAGACAAAAATAAAGAGTTGTCTGCATCACATACATTTTAGATGAGATTTTTTCATAAAATGTCCGTGATACAATCAATTTTAAATGAGAATTTTAAACGAGAATTTTAAAATGTCTGTGATACGGACATTTTTTTATTTGTGTGAAGATCGGTTTTCTTCATAAAACATCGGTCAAATTGTCTGTGTAGCCGATCAAATTGTCTGTGTGCAGACAATTTGACCGGCGTATTACCTCGCGTGTAAAAAGTGACGTGTACAAAGGGAACTTTCCAGCCAGGGGTGGAGACAGAGAGGGGTTGGAGGGGGCCTTGGCCCCTGCAAGAAAAAAAATCTTAAGTATATATTATGTATAAATACTTTGAATCTAGAAAAAATATGTTGATATTTTAAACTTTGGCCCAACAATGTAAAATTCTCAAAGCCGGGTCCCCTTAACCATTTCTGGCTCCGCCACTGTTTCCAGCTACCTTTAGGCTTTAGCTAGTCTTTGACTACGTACATGCTATCTAATATCTAAAACATAATACTCCCACCATTCTTAAATATGAGTCTTCTTAGGTTTTGGCACGGATTTTAAGAGGAAAATAATAGGGGTAGTGTAAAAGATATAGTGAGTTGTGGGTAAATGAAAAAGTAGGAAAGAGAAAGGGATAATGGTAATAAAAATGAGGATATAAAAGTATTTTGATTGAAAAAACTGACCAAAAAAGAAATAGGGACAAATAATTAAAAACGTCCAAAAAAAGAATGCGAGAGTTAATAAGAACAGAGGAGTATCTAAAAGTAAAAGAATTTGATGAAAAAGTTTTCCATTAGAAAATGTTTACATGAAAATCAATAAGGCACTCCTATCTTGTTTGCAACCTTTCTTATTCTCCGTATAGTGTTCAACCAAAACCGATATCGGAACCGGCTGTTTTTAACCTGAATCGGGGGTGGCTTGTGATTCGGAACAGGAGGTTCTAGACCACGGTTCGGTTCTTTGGATGTTGGGGGACCGGAGCAGTACCGGTCATGTTTCAGAACCATTTTTAATTAAAAATAAATAAATAAATAAATACGTACTACATTCGTTCCAAATTAATTTGCAAAATTGACATTTCTTGGTCAAATAGTTTCACTTTATTTACTTAATTAAGATGTCATTGTTTATTCTAATTTGGAGTTTGCAACTTTGAAGACATTATAATGCAGTTTTTGAATATATAAATTTTATTTATTAAAAATTGAATCAGATATCAATACGTGGGATTAAACTTTAACCATGATTGATCAGAAAATGATGACTTTTCAAATCGATTTGTGATAGAAGGAGTATATATATTAATAATTAATAATACTCCATATTCAAATGTTTGATACACTTATCTGATGAATTTTAATTTTTGCTATATTTTTCGTTTTTGGTAAATTTTCGTTTTAAAAATACCCAATTACTTTTATTTTTTCTATTTTTTTACCTGTTTTTGCATTTTTTTTCCCTTTTTGGAGAGACAATAGATTCCTTCTTTGCTGAAATTATTTCCCTCTCGATGCAATTATTTTTGGGTGTGAGTTATTAATGCCCGCCTACAATTTGAATACGTAGGATCTCTTTCTTCTTCTCAACCTCCATGTTCCAAGCGCACGTTTAATTTTCTTTCTAAATAAAGTGTAACCAAGGGCGGAGCTGAGGTGCCAGGCTAGGCCCCGACTCACCCTAAATTTAAAAAATGTCAATATTTTTAGTGTAAAAAATTTCGTATAATTTTTTTTCTAATAATATTCTTTGTACCGGCTCAGTCTGACCCAATGCTTTAATTTGGCTCCACCCCTGAGTGTAACTGATATAAATGTCCACAAAAGTCAAAAGTATAATGCTTCGACTTGTTTTTCCTTACGACATGTTTGGAAGTTGGTTTTCTAAGAGGGAGAGGAAAACATGGAGGGTTGATTTTGAAAAAATGATTAGGGAAGATTTTTGTGACCTTCCAAAAATTCATTCTTTTTGTTTGAGAGTTACAAATTTGAATCGAGGGGGATTGGGGAGGAATTATAATTAAAATTATTTCAAAGATATGATGAATTTAAATAGTTGAACTTGCATTCATTTTAAGGTAAGCTAAAATCACCATTTAATTAGTTATCTTCAAAAACTCCCAAATTTGTGAATCCTAAAAATTCAGCATTTGAATGGGTTTAAAAGGTCACAAGAACCCTCTAAAATGATTCCTTCTAATTTTTAAACTTCCAAATAAGAAGGAGATGTCATAAACCATATGAATCCCCCCCTCACCTCCAAGGCTCCAAAAGATAACTCCAAAATATATCATAAGGGTATGTTTGGAAGTTTGAAGGGAAGGGGAGGGGAAGGTTTTGGAGGTAAACCATTGGAAGGGAAGGAGAGGGAAAGGGTTGGAAACCATAATTGAGTATGTTTTGAAGTATCAAGTTTGAAAACATAAAGATTTTGGATGAATTATAATTAAAATCACTTCACATATATGACGAATTCAAATAATTGAGTTTATATTTATTTAAAATTGAGCTAAACTTGTTATACTTCAAGATCTTCAAATTTGGGGGAACTTGAAAATTGAGCATTTGAAGGGGTTTGGGGGGTTACAAAAGCCCTCCAAAATCATTCCATCCATATTTTTTATCTCTCAAACTTGAAAGGAAGGGTCATAAACCCTTGTCAACCATACCCTACCCTCCAAAACCCAACTCCCAAACATACCTAAAGGAATGTTTGGGAGTTTAGGAGGAAAGAGAGGGGAATGCTTTGAAGATAAGTTGTTGGGTTGGAAAGGGATGAGAATGTGAGGAAACCTTATTTTTATCTGTGGACCGGACTGGATAGAGACTGTCGAGTCATGGACCGGACCGGACAAGGACCACCAGTTCGTCGACCAGACCGGAACCGTCGGGTCATCGACCGGATCGGGACCGTCGGGTCATCGATCAGACTGGATCGGGTTTGCTCGGTCATCGACCGGACCAGACACAAATAATTTACGTTTTTATACATATTTTTGCGCATTGTTTTTTAGTAATTCATTTAATTGACTTCACAGTTGAATTTTTAGCTGAGTTTTTATGGACATAATAATCTACACTTGATGAAAAACATTCAATTAAAATTTCACAAAAAAATTAACTCGAAAACAAATTAGTCTAATATGATTATTTGATTAGTTTATTACTCGTAATTGATTCCATTCATAGTTGATTGTTTGATTTCTTAATTGTTGATTGTTTTCTATTGAGTGGTGATGTTATAGCTTATTGATGTTGTTATACAAACATTTTCAATTATGATAAAATTTATAAATTTAATTAATTTCAAGGTGTAATAAAAAGGATGGAATCTGAATAAGATTAATAAAAAAGAGGAAAAGATTAAGAGAAAAAGGCGCTAAATGAAAAAAGTTCAATGGAAAAGTTTGTTTGTGTAAAAAAGACTAATTCTGAATGTCTTCTTTAAAATGAGAACTCATAGAAGAACAATAATTTAACTACTAAAAATGAAATGATTCAGAATGATTACATCATTGGAGGGGGGATTTAAGAGGTGATAATAATAGAGTTAATTCTCTAAATATGACTTAAACATTGGTAAAGTGTACAAATAGGATCATCATTGTTTCCTTCCTAAATAAGGATCACCAATACTGTAATATGATTAATTTAGAGAGAATAGGTTTTTACAATTTTTTACAAAAGTTTTGAATTATTATTATTATTACTATTATGCATGTCAGTTTAGATAGAAAGGGGTTCTACAATTTTATGTAGCATTAGGTCCATTATAATTTTCCGGCCATAGGCCTTCGAACATACAAGGCCGCCCTTGTCAAGAGTAGACTCTTATTTCTGCATTATAACCTTAGTTAGTAGATACTCGGTGATATATATACTCATGGCTTGTTTACTAATAGAGATATTTTCCATTTTTCCAAAAAATTAAAAAATTGGAAAAATGGAAATAGAAAACGTGTTTACAAAAAAAACAGCTGAAAAACAGCTCAAATGGTGCACTCATTGAGAGTTTTACCAAACCGCTTTTCAAAATTAAAAAATGAAATATGTCTCTGTTTTCCTTAATAAATTGAAGAAGTGAGTTTTACTAGTATTCTAAATTTGGAAAACGCGGATGCTGAAGTGCCACTGCAATGAATTTGGATACTTACGCCTAGTGGTGGGTCCGGTCCCGCTCCAGTGTTAGTTCCAATTCAATAAACGACTCGACGATTCCAATCTGGTCCGATCAACGGCCCGGTGGTCCAGTTTGGTGTGGTCGACGACCAAGAATACCCAGTTCGGTCGAGTTGATGACCTGACAGTCCTAGTCCAGTGTGATCCAGTAGATGACCCGACGGTCCCGGTCTAGTTCGGTCAATGACCCGATGGTCCCTGTCTGGTCTGGTCAATGACTCGGCGTACCTGTCCAGTCCAGTCCATGTCCTTGCGGTCCCTGTCTAATCCGGACAATGACACAAGAGTCTCTGTCCGGTCTATCCACGACTGGGAGGTACTTGTCCCGATTCGGTCTGATCTAGTCAACGACTCGGCGGTTCCAGACCGCTCTGGTCAACAATCTGGCGGTCCCGTCCTGTTCGGCCAATGACCCGGCGGTCTTCGTCCTGTCCGGTCAACGATCGTGCGGTCCCCATCCTATTTGGCCAACGATCCGGCGGTGTCCGTTCAGTCCGATCGATAATTGTGCGGTCTCAAACCGGTCCCGTCAATGACCCTGTGATCCCTATCTAGACCAGCAATGACGTGGCGGTTCAGTTTTGGTTTGTTGAAAATATTTTTT